GGATCTACCATTCTGGAGTATGGAGGATGGCAGCCCTCTTCTCACAGCTCTACAAGGCAGTGCCCCAGTGGGGACTCTGTTTGGGGCCTCCAACCCAACATTTCTCTTCCATACTGCCCTAGCAGAGGTTCTTCATGAGGGCCCCACCTCTGCAGCAAACTTCTGCTTGGATATCCAGATGAGAGGCATGCAATGCATATAATAATCACATCAGGGTAAATGGAGTATTCATCTCCTTAAGCATTTATCCTTTGTGTTACAAACAATCCAATTATATTCTTTTAGTTATCTGAAAATGTACAATTAAATTATTTTGACTATAGTAACCCAGTTTTGCTATCAAATACCAGGTATTATTCATTCATTCTTTTTTTTTTTTTTTTAACCCATTAGCTATCTTCATCTTCCCTACCAACCCCAACTACACTTCCCAGCCTCTGGTAACCATCTCTCTATACTCTATGTATGCAAATTCAATCATTTTAAATTTTAGCTCTCACAAATAAGTGAGAACATGAGATCTTTGTCTTTCTATACCTGGCTTATTTCACTTAACATAATGATCTCTGGTTCCATCCATGTTGTTGCAAATGACAGGATCTCATGCTTTTCCATGGCTAAATAATACTCCATTTTGTGTAAGTACCACACTTTCTTTATCCATTCATCTATTGATTGACACTTATATTGCTTCCAAATCTTGACTATTTTGAATGGTGTTTCAGCTAATATGGGAGTGCAGGTGTCTCTTCAATATATTGATTTCCCTTCTTTTGATCATATACCTAAGGATAGTATTGCTGGATCATACGGTAACTCTATTTTTAGTTTTTTGAGGAAGCTCCAAACTATTCTTCAGAGTGGTTATACTAATCTATATTCCCCCAGTGTACCAGTGTTCACTTTTCTCCACATCCTCTCCAGCATTTGTTATTGCCTGTCTTTTGGATATGGACAAGTGGGGTCAAATCAAGTTTAAAAGCTTCTGCAGAATGAAGGGAACAATAAACAAAGTGAAAAGACAATGTGCAGAGTGGGAGAAATTATTCACAAACTACTCATCTGATGAAGGATTAATAATTAGAATATATAAGCAGCCCAAACAATTTTACAGGAAAAAATCTAATAATTTGATTTAAAAATGGGCAAAAGATTTGAATAGACATTGCTCAAAAGAAGACATACAAATGTCAAACAGGCATATGAAAAGGCATTCAATATCATGATTATCAGAGAAAAGCAAATCAAAACTAAAATGAGATATCATCTCTCCCCAGTTCAAATCATTTGTTCATTTTGTTTATAAATTTTCTAATTTAATTGCTTTTTTTAATTAGTCAAGTGCAGTAGTGAGAAGGGGGAAGAGCAGAACAAGAAGTAAGATCTGTAATGAACTGTGAACAATCAATTGAGATACTTCACTATCTTCAGACTGGCCTGTTTATTTTTCTTTTAATGTTCAGTTTGAGAGTTCTTTGTGTAGGCCAAGTAGAAGCCCTATGTTGAATCTTGTGATTTGCAAATATTTCCCTCTAGTCTGTAGATTAACTTTAGATTAAATTTTCATTCTCTAAATGTAGTCTTTCACAGAGCGAAAGTTTTTAATTTTTGTGAAGTCCAATAGAGTAATTATATTCTCTTATGAGTTGTGCTTTTGGTGTCATATCTAAGAACTTCTCATCTAGCCCTACTTCCTAAAATTTTTCTTGTTTTATACTAAAGTCTTTTAGTTTTATATTTTATATTTAAAACTATATTACACTTTGAATTACTTTTTGAATGAAGTAGTAGGTTTAGGTTGAGATTAAATTATTTGCCCTTGGATATCTAATTGCTTTAACATCATCTGTTGAAAGAACTGTTCTTCCACTGAACCGCTTTTATAACCTTTTCAAAAATCAGCTGGGTATATTTGTGTTGTTTAGTTTTGGGTTCTCTCTTCTGTTCCATTGATCTATGAGTCTATCCCCCAACCAATATCAAAATCTCTTGATTATTGTAGCCGTATAGTAAGTCTTAATGTTGGATGTAATAATCCACCCCACTTTATTCACTTTCAAAGTTATTTTACTTAGTCCATGACCTGTGCCTTGAGACATAATTTTTAAAATAAATTTTACTATATCTGCAAAAAAAATTTTTGGAATTTTGATATCAATTGAATTGCACCTGTTAATGAAGTTGAAAAGGACTGACATCTTTATTATGTTGATTCTTTCTATCCATTACAAGGTCATCTCTCCATTTATTTAAAAGCCCTTTGCATTTGTTCCTTTGGGTTCTGTAATTTTTGGCATAGAGGACCTATGTGTACATTGTTAGATTTGTACCTAATTATTTCTCTCTTTTTTGAAATAATTGTAAATAGTCTTGTATTTTTAATTGTGTTTTCCACATCTTCATTGCTAGCATATAAAAATATGATTTATTTTCATATGTTGGTCTTGTATCCTGTGATCTTGCTAAACTTACATATTAGTTCTGGGAGTGTTTAAAAGATTGCTTGGAATTTTCTATGTATACAATTATGTCATTTGAAATAGAAACAGTTAAATTTTTTTTCTATTCAAACTGGCTATAGTTTGAATGCATCCCCCAAAGTTTTTGTGTTGGAAACTTAATCCCCAATGCAACAGCGTTAAGAAGTGGAATCTTTAAGAGGTGATTAGGTCATGAGGACTCTGAATGTATTAATGATGTATTGCAGAAGTGACTTAATTATCTCAGGAGTGGGCTCTGGATAAAAAGGATGAGTTTGGCTCCCTCATATCATCCCTTCTCCATTCCTCTCTCTCTTTCTCTCTTGCACCCTTGCCCTTTTGCCTTCTGCCATGGGATGATGCAGCAAGAAGACCCTCACCAGACGCAGGCCCCTGCACCTTGAACTTCTGAGCCTCCAAAACTGTAGGAAATAAACAATTTTCTTAATAAATTATCCAGTCTGTGGCATTCTGTTATAGCAACACAAAATTAACTAACACAAATTTCAGTGTCTTTATTTCTACTGTGTGCCTTATTGCACCAGTGAGAACTTCCAGCACTATGTGGAATGAGAGTGATGATAGCAAACATCTTCGCCTGGTCCTGATCTTAGGGGGAACTGATTCAGATTCTCACCATTATGTATAATGACAGCTTTTGTGTTTTCTGTAAATGATCTTTATCAATTTGAGGATATATTTCCCTCTATTACTTATTTTTAGAGAGGTTCTTTAAAATTATAGATGTTGAATTTTGCCATAGATTTGATCTTCATCAACTGATATGATCATGTGATTAGCCCGTTAATATGGTAGATTATAATGGCTTATTTTCAAATATTTAAAAGCATTGCATACCTGGAATAAATCCCACTTGGCTATGGTGCATTTTTTTTTTTTTTTTACATATTTGCTGGATTCAAGTTGCTAATATTTTGTTTAGAAATGTTGCGTCTAATTTCATGTTATATATTGATCTTGTACTGTCTTCCTCTTGTACTGTCTTTGGTTATAATATCAAGGTAATTTTGGCTTCATATAATGACTTGGAAAGATGCTGTAAAGAATTTCTATTTTTTGGAAGATGCTACATAGAATCAGTGTAAGCCCTCTTTAAATGTTCGGGAGAACTCTAAATATTGGAGTGACTTGGATCTTGGCCATAAAACCTTGATTCTTTTCTATCTACATTCTGCCCTCAGGAAATTTAACTTTAGTCTATTTTAAAATATGTTTCACCTGCCAATAAATCCCAAATTTATATCCCCAGCTCCATTCTGTTGCACTTAGAATAAATCAAACTTTCCCAACCATAGGTTATCAAATTCCTCACTGGCCTCATTTTTAACCAGTTCTTAAGTTAGGTCCCTGTTTGTCTGCTAGGGTTGCATAACGAATGACCATAGGTTGAGTGGTTGAAACACCAGAAATTTATTTTCTCACAGCTCTGAGCAAGGCTAGAAGTCCAAGATGAGGGTGCCAGCAGGGCTGGTTTTTGTTCTGGTGAGATCTTCCTTCCTGCTTTGCATATGGCCTCCTTCTCACTGTGTCCCCACATGGTCTTTTCTCTATGCATGAAGAGAGAGAGAGAGAGAGAGAGACAGACAGACAGAGAGAGAGAGAGAGAGAGAGAGATCTGGTGTCTTTTCTTATAAGAACACCCATCATATCAGATTAGTGCCCTGCTCTTAGTCTTCTTTTAATCTTAGTTACCTCCTTAAAGGCCATATCTCTAATGCAGTAACAGTGGGGATTAGGGCTTCAGCATATACATTTTTAAGAAACACAGTACAGTCCCTAGCAGGACCTACTCTTACTTCCTAGAGTCTATACACCTTGATTTTCTTCTCTAAATCAAGGACACCCAGCTCATTCCTGTCTTAGGAATATGATTTTGTGATTGCAATTCCTGAAGCAGTCTTTCCCTGAATCAACATGTTTGGATCATTTTTATTTATTATATCTCAGCTCAAATGGAATCTCTCTAGTGAGTATCATGCCCTGACAGCCCAAGCCAAAGTTTTCTCTACATCTTGGTCATTGTTTTCTATCCCATTGCCTTGTTTAATTTTCCTTATATAAGTTACTGCGATCTAAATTATCTTTTACTCTTTATTGGTTTACATTCTTTGTGCCTCTGTCTCTAACACTAAGATATAAGCTTCATGAGGACAAGAACTGTTTCTTTGGTTCACCTCTATATTCTGTGTCCCTTGTCCCATTTCTGGTACATGGTAAAGGACAAAAAAAAAAATTTGATAAAGTTTGAATGAGTGGGTTTGATGTAGTTAATGCAGGCAGATTGCATGGGACCTATTCAATATATGGGTTTCAATGTGCTTCATGGTCTTACAAAGTCCGGAGAAATGAGCCATGAATAAGAACCTCTGGCTTGTATTTATATTTTCAAAAAGATTAGTGAAAATAACTTTATAATGTGTTGATTGTAGAAAATACATCTAAGGACTTTAAATTCCTATTTCCTAGGGTTCAGGGGGAAAAAATGATAGCAATACTAACCATCTTAATTTCTTCTAGTTTCCCAGATCAGAAATGAAGACAAATAGCACAACTTCATTCTTTGGATTCTTCCTTTCTAATTTATCATCCAGAAAGTGCAAAGGACAATGGATATTCATCTCCATGTATACAATCTAAACAGTGCATGTGAAAGGAGAAGGGAAGAAAAATATATACATATACCACATTATTTTCGAAAAGGAATCGTATTCCTTACCCACAGAGTGTCCTCCATTGTGAATTTTATGATTAATCATCCATGCACCTGAATGTAATTGGCTTTGTTAGTACTTTACTTATATTTTGCTTCCCTTTACCTGCAAGATAGTTGTTAATGGATGAAATTTGTTCTAAGTGAAGTGATAGGGCTTCAATCTTTGAATAAAATTGGGATTCATAGGAAATTTACATTTGTATCTTTCAGAGTTATCAAATACTCAGGGGCTTGTAAAGAGCACAGAATGTCATTTAGATTGAAGTCAAAAAAATAGCTTATTTTTCTTATGCTGCATAAGAGATTTAAACTTTTAAGAGATTATCTACATGAGAAGCTTTGGTAAAAATTTCAATGCTTTCTTGAAAACACATGATCAGAAATGCTGAGGAAAGATACAAAAACTTGGCTGGGTGATCATTTTCAGGTTATTAAACTCTTAAATCATGTATTTTTAAATGATTTATGTTTGTGGAAATTTCAGTAATGAAATAAAATTCAGAAACATCTGCTTCAACAAGCACATTCTCCTGAATTCAGAAAACTGAAATAATTTGTGAGCCAAGTCTATGTTCACATATTTTCTATTTCAAATGTAAATTAAATATAACACTTGGGAGATTATGAAGAATATAATTTGGCCCGGAGAAAGTGGCTGCCTCAATTGAACATTCTTTCTTAGACTGAAGCTGCGTCCATGTTCCTCGGTAGGCACCCAGAACAACTCAGGTCACTGTGTGATTTCCTAAAATCAGGAGATCTTTTGCATGGCACGCTCCCTCAAAGTGAATAATGGTTGGCTTCCGGAGCTAGATGTTTTCTGGACAATTTTTTTGTAACACATCATAAAAATGCAACCCCATCTTCTTACTTACCTTAAGCACATTTCATGTCAGATTCATGGCTTTGTTTCCACATATTGCCTTCCTAACTACTTCTCCCGTGAGGGGCGAACCCTCTCCTCATGATCAATATACCTGTAGCATGGAAGGAAGAAAAACAAAGGTGTTGGAAGAAGAAGACGGAAAACCCATCCTGATGAGACAGTTGTTGGCTAGTTCTTGAAGACAGCTGTACATAAGACTGTATTACCAGCAGATGTATTTTAAAATAGTGACATGATCACACATGAAGCTGGCCCAGCAAAATACTGTTCCTGCACTAAGATCCAAGATCCCCTGAGTGATGTAGAAAAGGCAAGAAATTGTTTCTATCGATAATGAACAGACAGTCAACACATTAAAATAGGTTTTCAAAACATAACAGACACACAGGGTATGTTGTAAGAGTTATAAAATAGAAAAAAAATTATGTTTAAGCCAATCTTCAGTTTCTTTTAGTATACTAATCAAAGAGCTTAGAGAATTGCATATGAATGACAAAAAACTATATGTAAGAGAATATAAATATATATACAGGCAGATATCCTAGATAACTAACATATAAGCCTTAGAAGTAGTAAAGTATTATTATTTTGCAAGATTTACAATAATGATTCTGATCCAAGGGCTATTTTCCCCCCAGAGGACATTTGACAATGTCAGGAGACATTTTTGGTTGTCATGATTGAGGTGGGGCTTGGAGAAGCTACTGGCATCCAGTCAATAAAGGCCAAGGATGCCACTAAACATTCTGCAATGCACAGGACACTCCCTCACCCACATAAAGAATATTCTGGCTCAAAATGGAAATAAAGTCAAGACTGAAAAAACCTGATTTAGACATATCACTTGGGCAGACATACAAATGGACTTTTAAGAAGTCTTAAGTCTATGGCTGAGTTTATTTAGGGGAAAATATCAGATACCTGCAGCTAAATAAAGAACACTTTTTTCCACCTCAGTTCGCAAAAAACTCAGTCAATACATTCATGTTCCCACTGCCACATCATAAAAGATATGTTTGTTTATTGAATTTCCTAGATGAGGGAGAATAAGAAAATTTCAAGTTATCTCAATCATTTCCAGAGGACCTCAGCAACTAGGACATCATACCTCTTATCTGAGGAAAAAAAGAAGGCAAACATTTCAGGACTTTTCTTTTTTTTTTTTTTTTTTTTTTTTTTTGGCTAAAACGGAAATGCTACAAATGCATTCACTTTCAAACTGAGATGCAAGGGCATTTTATAAGTCTTTTGAATGCCTCTCCAAATTTTTCAGGAGTTGCTACATTGAAAGGCTATAAACTTAGTTGCAATAAAATAGACATTATTTTTAATTGTTTCCTCTCAGCCTTATCATATATATGTACAAAAAAGAGTGGCATGGAAAATTATTATTTACAGTACTCAACAGCTTTCATACTGTCATCATTCTATAATGTAAGGTGTTTCTGCATTGAAAGAAAATATACTGGGGCAGCAATGTGAGGAAAGAAAAGCTACAAACTACCAGGTGTTCTTGAAACCTTGTACAGATACTTATGCAAATAATGTGTATTTTTTGTAACTTCACTGATCCCAGGTATCATTATCGATGTGGAAGACTAGGCCAGAAGAACTTGTCTCCAACTTTGAAGGTCAGTGTTAACCTCACCACATCCAGGCTCTCTGAACATTGAGGCTGCCTAAAGAATAGTTCCAGGAACTTATCCAATTTGATTTGCTTTTCCAATATTAAAATTTGGATTTTTTTAACTGAACATGCCAATTCCTAAAAAAAAAATAGCATAAGAAAAGAAAACCAGGGTTTCTTGCACTAAATATCTGGGGATGCCAAACATGCCCATCAATGAGTTGGACCAAAAATCTCTGAGCTTGAAGCTTTGTAAATAGATAATTATTTTAGCTAGGCTGATTTTTTTTTTTTTTTTTTTTTGTCTGTGAGTTCCCCTTGTTCCATCTAAACTTTTGGCATTCTAAATGTGTATTATGCAGGTTAGGTCACTTGATAATAATGACTGCACTATACATCTTATTTGACTGATTGGCTCTGTACTTAAAGAAACTGTATGAATGTTCCATTTTCAGCCACGTATAGTCACAGTATACATTATCAGGGTGATATTCAACTGAACTGCAAATACAATCTTAGAAGTTTTACTGTTGTAAAAGATTGGGAATCACAGGAATGCAGTGATCTGAAACTATTAGCCATGATATTATGTCTTGTTTGCTTTCATATACAAATTAAAACAAAGCAAACCAAAAACTGCAAGAAGAAAATAATATGATATAAATAAATTTGGTAAACCTAGCAAACAAGTAATTTTCTATTTTTTGGCATTGTCACTTCTCTCCTTACCTTTGTTTATTACTAAAAATGATACTGTGTTCCCAATGAATTTCAGAATAAAGAACAAAGTGAGTGACGCAAAGTACAGATAATACTGTATCTTACAATATGTGAAAATTGTTTTACAATGATTGGTTTCTTTTCATTCAGACTTCAAACCAGGGCACCAAACAAGACCTTCAAGGTTCAGAACAAAGTCAGTGTTGACTGACTTTGAAAGACATACAAAATTGGATTTCTTACTGAAATATAAAGAAATATACAACTGAACATTCATGTTAGAAATGTTTAATCACAAAAAGATGATATTCACAGTTATTTCCATTAATTTATTTCTATGGAATCTTTGCTGTGTAATTTGTATCTTGGTTACTCATTTTCATTTGACTGAAAAATAATCAGAATACATTTTTTAAAACCACCCATTGAGGTTCTTTCACATGAGAGGCAAATAATTTAATGATGACTTTCTAGCATAAGCTGCATTCCAAGATATTTGACCTGTTACCCCCACATGGGACCTGTATATTCTCCCTCAAGATATGTCTTTGGTCTCAAGACACAGTAACAGGAGCACCAGGTGAATGTGTGGGAACGGTTCATGCCAAGACACTTTCAGTCCTGGGAATGTGATCCAAATCACACACCATCAGCTGCTTGGGAGTAGCTGTCATCTTTCTGTAAGCGTAATAGCAGATTCAATCTGATATTGAAACGCATGAGGCTGACGAAGCCCTTTGCTGCAGCAACATGCTAACTAGAAGGAAACAGATCAGGACTTGGGTGTAGCCACTGGAAAAGAGAAATAAAACATGCTGGGACATACTTGATTGTTTCAAAGACTTTGAACAGAAGAATTCACCCACATATTGGGTTGTAGCAGGATTAATTAGTAATGCTGCTATAACAAAGCATACTTAGAAAACAATGATGTATGGCAATCTCCCTCTCATTTTCCTATTATATACACATAAAAGCAGATGAAAGAGCGCAGATGCCCCATGGTTCTAAGTGTCTTTGTTCACTTTATGCTAAAAATGTATCAGGAGGGAATGCATCCTTCATTTTCAGTTAGTTATAGTTCGTTTTTATTTTTATTTTTCATAATGGACTTTTATTAATCACCTGCTATATTTTGAATAATTTATCTCACCAAATTCATCACATAAAGGAGGAAGCCATGGATCTGACAGCTTAGGGTGACAGGCTAAGCCTTGTGTTAGAACTGCATGAGTATTTTTCTTTCCACTATTCCATAGCTACTTTCAAACAGGTTAAAATTGCCTTTCTAAGCCCTTTGTCTTCTTCACAGAGGATATTTTTCTGTATCATTGTGGAGCTTGTTTGTGCATGGAGAAAACTGTAACCTTCTGGTGAATTACATTAAGAAATTAAATATAAACCTAACTCATACAAACACCAACAGCAAATGGAAGGCAACTAACTTTGGTGAGCCCTGCTAGATATTTTACTTCCCAACATCCCTTTAATTTCTGTCCTTGTTTCAGAAGTGAAAAAAAAAAAAAAAAAAAAAAAAAAACCAGATGTTTGGGGCGATTCAGAAGTCTGTGGAAGTTGAAGGTGTTAATAAATGATACTCAGATCTGCTTTATTCCCAAGTCTCTTCTTTCTTTCTACACCACAAATTCTCCTTTGTAAAACTAAAAGAGGGTAACAATAATTCCTGGATGCCTTGTTCAGGCAGAGGCACTAACTCACATCATAGAGCATCCAGTTACTTGGCGATCTCCTTGGACTCTAGAAGCCTGCTCTCCCTTTGTCCAATCCACAGCATTGCCCACACCATTGGAATCTTACAAATGTTTTTCCGTTTGTGGATTTTCAGAATTTCAACATTGAAATTTTATCTAACTGTTGATAGTACTATAGTATGTGTTTACAAAAAAAAAATTATTTTAAAAAATGGAATTCATTTGGGTTTCTTCATTATATTCCTATAGATTTTTTTTCCTGCAGAAACCCAGTAATAGAACCTAGTCTTTCTCTGGCAAGTCCCCATAATACATTTGGTACTTGTTCTTTAAAAAGGAACAACCATTAAGGGTAATAAGAATGGGACTAAATGTCTTCTATGAAAAGATTCTGGAGACGGTGTCAGTGCTTTCTTTAAACATTCCCTTAACATTCCTTAGAAAATATTATTTTTAAGGCAATAGCACACCATATGAAGCAAAATTGTAGTAAAAAGCTTTTATTTTGTTACCTTCTTAAAGTGCAAGAAAGGTAAAGACAATTGTTAAAAACAGAGTCAAGCCTGCTGATGCATAAAGCTATGGTTTGAAATTCTGATAAAAACAATTTTCATCATGCTGGATCAGCTAACTTTAAACTCATAAGTGTCCTTGATCTAAGTCTAAATAAAAATAAAATGCTTCAGAAAAGAAACACCCAGTATTAATAGTTCTTCTGAAACATTTTTAATTTTTTCCATCTGGTTACTTCCAAGAAAAACTATTCAGGATTTCCAAGTAATGAAGAATCAAGCTAGGTAAGTCCTACTCACAGAATTTCAGAAAAACTACCAGAGGGAATAAAAAGTGCTCTTAAATTTCAAAGGCACAAGTTTTTCCCCACCAACTCTAGCACATTTCATGACCTTATAACCAAGGTCATGCAAATAGATGATCCACCGGAACAAATTATCACAATGGCTATGCAATGTCTCTAGCTTTTTATGATAGTGTTGGCCAAAGCAGGCTAGATGGCAATAAGAAAAACTAGAA